AGCAATTTGTTACTGGCTGCTAGGTGTAACAAAAAATATGTTTTTAAAAACAAAAGATAAAATACTTTATTTTTATGCTGAGTACTTTTTTTTTAATCTTTTAGTCGAGAAATACTTTATGTAAACCCTGAAAAGGTGGCAACCCTAAGCACAATCGAAGAGCTTGAAAACCTTGAAGTTAATACAAATTACTAAGTACTTTTATAAAGTAATTCTTTCCCATCTGTTTAATCATGAAAGGGTTTCAATTACAGTGCTTCTAATCCCTGAAAGAACTGAAACCATATTTTCAAGCAGAAATCACTAAAACTCTGGTCATTTCTGACAGATTTTTTAGCTATATCGTGCTAGGTACCTGAGTATTTATATAAATGATTGTTTGTTACTATTTATTACCGACTTCAAATCTATATGTATTACCGCGTTGAGGCACTCGGAAAAAGTGTGAAAGTTCTGAAAACGTGCCATTACTCGGCAACAAAGTTTTCCTTCGAAAAAATGCAATATTCCGGTCTGCAGCAACGTGATCTTTAGTCCATTTCACGCTTCTTTGACGAGAGCAATTAGTCTCTGTCGACTTTACAGGTTAATAAATTAGACAGTTCAGCAACAGGTTTCATTCAAACGAACTGTCGGTCGACGACGCTTCCTTTTCGCACCAGCTCGAGGGAAGGAATTTTATGTGAAATTTACGGCACGCAAAATTACTCTCCTATCCTCTTCTGGTACCTCGTATTTTCATTCCTGTGCTTAAACGTGTCTCGTCAGAAATAGAATTCAGTTCCAAACACAAGTCACCAGTTGTATTCTCTGATTTACGAAATGTATTCGTTATATTGAAACGAAAATAGATACAAACCACCCCCTTACTAGGCGCTGAAGCCTTCCAGAAGCAAATGGGGAGATGCTGGCGTTGAGGCAGTCAACAGGAACACCGTTGGGTACTTATGTATCCATTTATTTTGAAAATTAAAATATACCAATCAAATATTTTTTTCTTGACAACTGAAAATATTTTTTATTTAAATACTTCAAATACAATTAAGAAAACGAAAATTCAACGGCTTTCTTTATAATTACGTATCTTCGTACCTATCTTTGATCAAACAGTGTTCTCCATTTTATTTTCTTAAAACTTATTATCATAAATTCTTTAAAAGAATCATTGATTGGCATTAAATGATTCCGTGAATAAATGGCGGAGGCGCTAGGCACAATCCAATTTAGGTAACGACTAGAGGCAATAGTAAAAATTAATATAAGGTGAATGAAATTTAACCCAAGTCACAATGTGGCGAAATAATTATTGTTGAATAGATAAATAAATTATACCAAAATTTTAACTATGATGAGATTACAAGAAAACCAAAAGAAGGTAATAATAATAATTGATTGCAATATATGAGTTAATAAAATTTAAACGTAGTACAAGCAGGTATGAACTTTCTGGGTAATCATTGTCATAAGGTCGTCAGTCTAAAACTGTTTGGACACGCACCTCCACTCTTTCCTATCCTGAGCTAATCTTCGCATTTCCCCAAAACTACAACATTCCACATCCTTAACTATTTGTGTGCAGTAATCTAATCTAGGTTTACTTCTACTCCTCCTAACTCCCGTTTCCGCCCCTAATATGTCTCTGACCAGATCTGAGACGGTGTCCTACCAACCTCGCCTATTTCATTTTTACTTTCACAGAGTGCTGTGTTCTCCTATTCTTTCTAATACCTATTCATTTCTAACCTCTATCCACGGTATCCTCACCTCCACTCTTCCCTATCCTGAGCTAATCTTCGCATTTCCCCAAAACCAGAACAACCCATACCTATCCTTAACTATTTGCGAAGAGTAATCTAATCTAGGTCTACCTCTACCCCGCCTAACTCCTATTTCTGTCTCTAATATGTCTCTAACAAGACCTTTATGTCTGGGGTGTCCGACCAATCTATTTCACCTATTTCATATTTATTTCCATAGAGTCCTCTTTTCTCCTATTCTTTCTAATACTTCTTCATTTCTAACCTCTATCCATGGAATCCTCATCATTCGCCTATAACAGCACATTTCGAGCGCTTCTAATCTTTTCCTTTCTGCGGCGCCCAGCATCCATGTTTCGAACCCGTACAACACCGCGTTCCAAACATACGCCTTTAACGATCTTCTTCGAATTTCTGAATTAACCGTTCGCGAGCATAGAAGTGACTTCTTTTTATGGAAGGCGACTCGACCCTGCGCTATCCTCTGTCTGTATCTCTACTAGTCCTTCGGTCTTGACTTATCTGACTTCCTAGGTACCTAAAATCAGTGACTTCTTCTTTTTTAGGTAATACTCTCTAATAATTAAACCACGAGGATACGTATACCACAAAAACCATAACACTTTGAAAAAACGCGTACACGTGTGTCGCCCACATATACGTATACCATTTCAATTCAAGACTGGCTCTTAATTATTAGTTTTATTTCAAATGTATGAGAATTGAGCCCCCAATCAATCAATAGAAACCTATAAAAGAAGTTCTTTATAAAACGTGTGCTTTTGTTGGGAATTGAATCAATCCCAATCGCAGCGTCAAATTTTGATTGTTTTCGTCAAACTTAAGATTTAATTAGCCATTGCGTCAAATCGAAAAATTTAAACGAACATCGATATAATTCGAGAACAGCCCTCTCGACGTCGTATAATTACACCAACCCCATTTTTGCACCCTCGCACCAGTTGTTTAGACTTCCCCTCGTTTACTCCGTGTGCGTATGCCTACCCTAACCCTACGTAGTAAGAGATTGAACATGACCCCCCGTTATATTTTTTCCCACTTTATAATGGTGTTGCCTGCTAACCCAGTTTCACCCTCATTTATGTGTTTATGTTCCAGAATATATTGTTTAAAAAAAAAACANGGCGGCATTTTTTACGGTGCCCACAGCGGCGCTAAGGGAAAACCCGGACCTGAGTCTGGCCCATCGCCCATGTGGCAAGCCATCCTGAATATTAAGTAAGCCCAATTTAATTGAAAATGGAAAAGCGTAAACATTACCTATACTTCCTAATTTATGTTTTTATGTTCCAGAATATATTGTATAAAAAAAAAACATTGAAAGGTCACATTCACTTTTCAATTAAGTAATGAAAATACATACTTATTAAGAAACCAAGATAATACACGTTATTAACGTCAAAATAGAGTAAGTACATTATCATTTTCTAAAATCAATTTTTCCATATACATAAAGGTATACGCGTAAACCACATTTCTCTATAAGGGGGGGGGTTGGTAAAAGGATATCTGAATCATATGCGGGGGGGGATTGGTATTTGAACCACGATTGTTAAAAGAAAAGTATATTATATTGGATGATCGACCTGAATCTATTATGCAATAGTTGACCTGAATGAATGATGAAGAATAGTTGTTCTAGGGAACCCAGGGATAATATCATTATAGGTCATGTAGGGGGAGAGGGTTAAAAAGCAGCTATGGCTTACGGACCAGCTCCTAATACTTGATAGTTTTAGAATGTTAGTTAGTTAACTCATTCGTCGAGGCCCCTACGAGATTGAAACATTATTTGCAAATTATTTCATGATTTAGGTATTTGCCCGGCATGACTATAAATTCCAGGATCGAAACGGAATTCCGGACTTTAGTGTTTTTCAAGTACCAAAAATCCCGAAAATGGTCTCAAAATCCCAAAAAAAGAATTACAAGACATGAGTTATATGAAAACTAAGTGTATATCTATTTATATTTGAATTTTGGTAGTATAAATATTTGATTAGATCATTAAATAGTATCTATTATATGTGACTAGGTTTTACCCGCAGCTTATCTCGCATTATTGAAATCCTAACTATATCTACTTATTAAAAATCATCGACCGCCACATAAAATTAATTTCTCTTTCCTTCGGGAACAGTATTCTTTTCTGGATAAAAGGTACAGGAGTTAGGAGGGGTAGAGGTAGNTAATCTAACATATGTATTATTTTTATAAACCTACTTATGTATTTTTCGTATTTTACCCATTACTTTAAAACTAAGTTATATAGCGTACACATATTTACATGTACTACATGTTAATATAGATAAGTATGTAATACTGACTTGCATACGCACACGTTCGTATGACCTTGGCTGTAATTATCAGTATAAATAAAAATAAACAACTCTGTTTACTGCTTTTGCAATTATCTGTGTTAGAAAAATTAAATTAATAAATGTCATATTTTTCTTTTGAAGTTTAACAAACAAAACCGTAGTATCAATTGGTAATTTCCATTTTTTGGGTTTTTTTGACCGAACATTTTCTTTCGTTGCAGAGAGTTTTTGTTAAATAATAACAGTAATTTTTAATCGATAATAACTGAAACAAGATTCCGATGATAGAATCGGTAATAATCAAGGGTCAATGTGTTCACTATGTTAAAATTGTTTAAAAAAGATTTCTAAAAGTGTGCGAACTTTTCACATTTGATATTTCTTGTTATTCCGAAAAGCTCAGAGAAGTACATAAAAATTGTTCTTTCATGTAAATCACCCTACCGCAATTTTTATAAATGAATACCTGTTGTATGGTAATATATGTATAGAGCTGGGCAGCAATTTAGAGCTTTAGTGCTTTGTACTTGAATATGTACTTCCAATCCACAGTCCTTTTATCAAGGTTTAGATGAGGCACACTGTAATTCAAGCAATTTCATGAACAAATACATAGTTGTGGCTTAGTAAACGAATTAGTTTATATAAAAGAACGTTGTAATGTGTAACATAAAGCTTAAAGCTTTTTCAAAGTGCTTTTAAGGAATAGAATCTAATTGCTTTCGAACTAATTGGTAATTCGAAGTACTAAAATGCAAAGGCTGAAGCAGTTCAACACAGAGCTTTGGTTTTAAGGCTTGGAACTTTTTTGGTGTGGTCTTCAACTATAATATTACAGGGGTAGCTGCAATCGATCTTAACACTGCGCAAATTTTTCTGATTGATAAATAAAACTCACTTCTCTCCCTCTCACCAAAGCCTAAAGCTCTTACTTAACGTGCTTTAGCCCCTGAAGCACAGTTAAATTTAAATCCCTTAACATTTTGAAAATGTTTCAAGCACACTGAAAGAGCTGGAAGACATTCAAGTTAATGTAAATTACTAAACACTTATGTGAAGTAATTCTTTTACCAATTCCCAACTGCTTAATCATGAATGGGTTTTACTTATTGTGCTTCTAGGACTTAAAAGAACTAGAAACATGGTTTTACTTTAAAACTGCTTCAAACGCTTTGAAAGAGCTTAAACCCTTGAAGTTAATACAAATTACTAAGCACTTTTGTGAAGTAACAGTTTTACCAAGACCCTACTGCTTAACCATGAATGGGTTTGAATAACAGTGCTTCTAGAACCTGAAAAAACTGGAATCATAGTTGTACTTTAAAACTACTTCGAACACTTTGATAGCGCTTGAAACCCTTGAAGTTAATACAAATTACTATGCACTTTTATAAAGTAACAGTTTTACTAAGACCCTACTGCTAAATCATGAATAGGTTTGAATTACAGTGCTTCTAGGACCTGAAAGGACTGGAACCACAGTTTTACTTCAAAATTGCTTCAAGCACATTTAAAGAGTTTGAAACCCTTTGTGTTAATACAAACTACTAAGCACTTTTATAAAGAAATACTTTCACCAAGGTCTAACTGTTTAATCATGAAAGGATTTCAATTACAATACTTCTAAGGCCTGACAAGACTGGCAACATATTTTTACATCAAAATGCTTCAATTTTCAAGAGCCTGAAAACTTTTAAGTCAATACAAATTACTAAGCACTTTTATAAAGTATTTCTTTCCCAAGCTCCATCTGCTTAATAATGAAAGGGTTTGAATTACACTGCTTCCAAGGCTTGAAAGGATTAGACACATACATTTGCTTTAAAAGTGCTTCAAGCACAATTAGGGTTGCCACCCGTACTTTATTATAAAGTATTGTACTATATTTCGACTGTGCCTACGTTATACTTTACAAGACACATAAAGTACGCAAAAATACTTTATTTAAGGCCTTAAGTAAACATCGTAATTTTGTAAGCGATTATTCGAAATTCAGAGTATTNCTTAAATATGTTGGAAACAACGACGGGTGCGATGCGATGCGATGCGACTGGCTCTGTTTATTAAATGAATATCGTTCAGTAAGCAGCGGGGAATGCCATGCTTCAAAGATAACCTTATATTATTATGCTTGCTACGCACACTTTTCGTGGCGCGGAAAATTAAAACGGGCAATGCAAAAGGAAATTAGATCGCGCGAATATTGCTGTAAAGGACTTGTCTTTCTGGGTTCGTTCCTGCTCGGTTTCACTTCTTAAACGCTTTACGGCTGCTTAAAAGCATTCCGAATTAAAGGAACTTCTCTCGTGAAGTGTCAAGTCTGCTGTAAAATCAAAATGAATGGGCTTTCGACCTTAAGGTACTCACTCTCTAAACGTAGTAAAAAAAGGAGAAATTCTAGATTGGAACATTTTGTATTCTGTGAAGGAAATCATAAATTAAAATACTAACTGTTGTCGATCTCCAGGAGGACCTTGAGTAATCGATAAACAATAAATATTAGTAACATATGGAAATATCTAAAGGCCTGGGTTCGTAAAAGGGGAAGAGAAATAGGGAATTAAAATAGAATCAACCTGATAACCGTTTGATTTCAATAAAAAAGTGAGAAGTTATACCATTTTATAACAAATATTAGCTGCAGGGTTCTCATAAATGAGTTCATACATCAAGATGTTGTCGGAAAATAATCCTAGGATTGTGGAAAATAATGAGAGACAGTTTCCCACAATGGATTTCGATCCGGAACAATGGGAGTTGCCACGAAGAACTACGTCAGAACAGTGAGCATCGAGAGGGTGTCCACATAAGCACCTGTTTGGTTTCCAATAGGAAAGAAATCATGGAAATTCATGAGCGGAATCTTCCATAAATGCAATAATGTTGGGAATGCTTCAACAGCAACAACAACAGCAGCAGCGGGCGCTTCCCGCAACCAGGTGGTAGTGCAAAGTGTTGTAATGTGATACCGGACTGTTCCACTTTTTGGCGGTGGACAAGGTACTTTCGAGGCGATAAGTACAATGGTTACAATAACTGACTGGAATAGTTTCAGACAGGCTTTTAGGGAGACAGCTGGAGTCAGATTTGGTAAAGGTCTAGATGATGGCCCCCACCCCCGAAGGGGGTGAGGATGGGGGGGATCGAAAGAGGAAGACTCCCCCACCACTGTATTGTCAAAGTAATCAACTTTCAACCCCCATAACTTTTTATGGAGGTGAGACCGCCGCAATTTTTTTATGAGGTTTTACTCAGATGACCACCCTCTTTCGATCCCCCCTACCCCCACCCCCATCTAACCCCCATAACTTTCTATGGGGGTGAGACCACCAGGAACTTTTTATGGTACAGTGGTGGGGAAGACCTCCTCTTTCGATCCCATCCACCCCCACCCCCGAAGGGCCATCATCTAGACATTTACCTTAGGGTTAACCATCAAAGTTATGGCAGGATTCCCCATTTTTTGTAAGCCTCTACGTGCGTTAGCTCTTTACGAAAAATTCGTATCGCAAGTCCCACATTTAAAAGACTTAAAACCTACTATAAACTTAACTTAAACGATCTCGTTTGCCCTTGAGTATAACTTCGGAAAAGTGACATTACATTTCCGTATACAACTACATATGGCATTTATACATATAAGTTACAGGGAAATTGAATTAACAGTCATTCTAATTAATATTTCCAACAGGCGTCTCTTATAATTGAATAATATCTTGCCTTAAAAGAGTATTCGACCTTCCATTGCGGTCCTGATTAAATTTCTGTAAACGCAACCGGTGTGAGTTTATCTGGTTTAAATCTCGTACTAATTGTAAGTAGTGCCAGGTTACCATTCGATATGTACAAATGAAGTGTATCTTACAGAGTGCACGCATACATCAA